CCGGAGTACACGGGCGGCAGGACCGCGAGGTCCCGCAGTCCGTGTCCTCCGGGGCGAGCCCCGTTCGTAACTGTGGATCCGACTTAAGTCGGATCCGCGTAAGTCGGGGACTGCCTGTATTTGCACAAGTACACTGATGTTGTAATGTACAAAATCAGTGTTTCTTGCACAAACACTCTGATGCTCCCGCTCAGGGATAAGCCCTCTTGTGCAAGTATTCTTGCACAAGAGGCCAGTGTAGACAGGCAATGTTAGTTTCTTGTGCAAGAAAGCCCAATGGCTAAAATGGCCATCAGAGCTTTTCTTGCACAAGAGAGCGTCTACACTGGCACGGATGCTTTTGCGCAAAAGCACATCTCTTGCGCAAATACTTTTAATGGAAAAACTCTTCCATTAAAAGTATTTGAGCAAAATCTTGCCAGTGTAGATGTAGCCAAAGGGTATTGTACCCTTTCAGAAGTAAATGTGAAAATAGACTGTGTATATTTTAAATCAGAGTGCATAATTATTTGCTGGCAGTTAACGTATATAATCATTAATTCTCTCTTTTTTTCTCTGTGGTTTTTCATGTATTTTTTCTGGTCTATGAGTCCTGACTGAAATGCTGAATAAACTGATGTTTGTCAAATGCCTTCCAATATAGGCTTGTAAATAGGGCCCTGTGTATCCCTTGATTGTGAAAGTCACTTCTTGCCACAGAATTGGGCTCAAGAATTCAAGCTTTAATTTACTTTTTTAAATTATGTTTCTGGCTTGTAAAATTGCAGAGTAAATCTTCTTCCTAAATTTGTGACAACCAAGAACAATTGTACTGAGAGATGAGGTATTAACTCTGAAACATAAACACTTATCTCAATGAGGTATTAACTCTGAAACATAAACACAATAAGCTGTAGCATATCAAAAATGTGCAACAGTATGAAATAGTTGAAATTGAATATTATGTGCATATTGCAATGGTTAATTGATTGTGGCATTAAACTTTATATGTATTTTTTTTTTTAAAAAAAACCCAAACTACTTTAGAATTTGCATAACATCCACCAGACTGTTGATAGTATATCCAGTTTGCTGCAGAATATGTGGGGCCTAAATTTACTAGGAGTCAGGTGGGCAGGCATTCCATCTCAGTCCCTGCTTGCGCTGGGTTGGGGACCAAACCCTGCTGTGGCTCTGCAATTTAAAACACAGTGGCTGTGTCTAGACTGCATCTCTTTTCCGTAAAAGGGATGCAAATTAGACACATCGCAATTGCAAATGAAGCAGGGATTTAAATCCCCCCGCTTCATTTGCATAAACATGGCTGATGCTTTTTTCCGGCTCGGAGCTTTGCTGGAAAAAAGTAAAAGGGGCTGCCGCTTTTTTCTGGCTCGGAGCTTTGCCAGAAAAAAGCACCAGTCTAGACGTGGATCTTTCGGAAAATAAAGTCTTTTCCGAAATATCCCTTATTGCTAAGAGGAATCTTTCAGAAAAGGCTTTATTTTCTGAAAGATCCACGTCTAGACTGGCGCTTTTTTCTGGTAAAGCTCCGAGCCGGAAAAAAGCGGCAGCCATGTTTATGCAAATGAAGCGGGCGGGATTTAAATCCCCGCTTCATTTGCAATTGCGATGTGTTTAATTTGCATCCCTTTTACGGAAAAGGGATGCAGCCTAGACACAGCCAGTAGGAACCATGGGGCAGGCTGTCCAGCTTCTACTGCCTTTTAAATTGCAGTGCTGAAGCGCGGTTTGGTCCCGGCACAAGCTGGGACTGAGTAGGACTACCTGTCCAGCCAATATCAGCCCCTGCCTGTCCCTGTCCACGAGAACAGCCTCCTCTGTCCGTCCCCTCCCCCTCGCTGCCTCTCATAGGGGTGGGAGAAGAGACTGTGCTGGGGGGGGGAGGGGGGGGACTGGCTTTTAAGCCGGCTTCTGCTCCTCCCCCCCTTGCTGCCTCTGATATAGAGGCTGCAAACGGGAGAATGTGAGTAGTCGACTTGACTACTCTCTTACATCCCTATTCTGGACTGGTACACAAGCCACACTAAAATCAGAATTTGGTTTTACAGTTGTTTGAATGGTACTTTTGTGGAAATGTTTATTTTGTATCCTATCCAATACTTAATTAAAACTCATAAAAGTCAGGCATATCACTCATCCAACCCTGAGGTGTCTCTTTCATTTCAGAAAACACTGGCATATTTTAATATGTGTGAAAATGAATTTTGTGTAATTTAATATCTAAACTACCTGTAAGGACACTGTTTTAAGTTTGTAAACAGTAACAAATCCTATTTGTATATAGATTTGCATATGCAATGCTGTAACCGTGTCAGTCATAGGGCATTAGCGAGATAAGGTGTATGAGCTAATACCTTTTATTATTCTTTGTCACTTGAAAGCTTGTCTCTCTCATTAACAGAAGTTGGTTCAAGAAAAGGTAGTCTCTCATCCACCTGGTTTTCCTATTCATGTAGACTGTTATTTCTATGAAATCAAGTGATTTATGAACAAAGGCAGCTAGTTTAAAATGTAAATGAATTCATATCAGTGTTGGCTTTTGGATATTCAGCACTTCTGAAGGTCAAGTATATGCCTAAATATGGATTTAGGAGCCTAACTTTAAGCTCCTTTTTTTTAAAAAGAATCTTAAATATTTTGATTGTGTGAAATGCTGCACCCAGGAATGCATTTTGTAGGCATGTGATATTTTTGTGCAGAATGGGAATAAATGTGTTACAAAATTATTTTTCACTTCCTGCAGAATTGCCACTGAAGTGTCACAAAATATGGTGACTGTTTTGACGCCTTCAGGATAAATCTAGCTGGGTAGAGGAACTACATATGGAGCCAGATAAAATATATGCATAATGTTTTCCAATCCTTCTATCCTTCTTATTGAGTCAGGAGTTCCCTTTCTTTTGACTGTTTTAACTTTGTGGACAGGAATTTACTAATTAAGACCCTAATCCTGTATCTACTTACATTTGTAAAGTGACACACATACACATGAATATCCTCCCCATCTTCACTTTTTTAATGATATTGTGAATTATCCAGGAAGAAGATCTATCCTTGGAAGCTGTAAGAACTAGAGTGGTACAGCTTCTTGGATCTTTGGGAGGGCAAATCAATCGAAATTTAGTTACAGGTGAGCATCCAAAAATATTAAACATTTGTATGCACTCTCTTATTTACAAATGACTTCGTTACCCTTTTATGAAATAAGGTGGCCTTACCAAATAAAAACCTGGTAGGTTGGTTCCATTTTGTTAAGCTTTTCAGCTCACAAAAACAAGGGAAAACCTATTGTAGAACACCTAAGGATATGTCTGCACTGCAGCTGGGGTGCAGTTCCAGGCTTGAATAGACATACCTGCACTGTCTCTGCTAAAAGTAGCATGCTAAAAATAGCAGTCTGGTCTCAGCAGTACAGGTGATAGCTTGGGCTAACCATCAGAGTATGTTTCTAGGACCTCTGTCAGGATTGTACGAGGTGGACAGCTTGAGGCACCATAGCCACAAGTACTATTTTTAGTACATTAGCTTGAGCAGAGCTAGAGTACTGATGTCTGTCTGAGCTGGACATTATGCCTCACAGCTGCAATGTAGGTGTATCCAAAAAGGTTACTTAGACCCAAATCATGAAAAGTCTTACACATATGCTTAACTTTACACATAAGGGTGACCTCTTTGATGATTGTTAATGGAAAATGGTGAAATATACTGTACAAAGGGCAGTTGGAGTCCATTAACTAACCTGAGGAGTGGAAGGAGTAAATGGAAGGGGGCAAAAACTATAACTTCTCTTTTAGTTGTAGATGTTTTTGACCATATCGTATAACTCAATACATGTGTTTTAGATCCTATGTTCACCAATGAGTCCTGTTTGAAATGAGTGAGTCTCTGTGCGTCTCCAGGGGTCTGCTTGCCCGGATCTATTTGTAGAATCTTAATTCTAAGCATTGCTTGTAACAGTAGAAGACCAAAAAAAAATCATATTCTACTTTTCGAGTGAAGTGTTCTGAAACAGTCATGCTGTAATATGTTCCAAGTTTAGAAGCTACTCTGCCATTGTCTCTGTTGGAGCTGAATAGTAGTATTGTCTTGTGAAAAGTTGACAGCAATTATCCTTTCTCCAAGGGACAGTTCCACTGTTTTGCTGTGAAAGTGAGACCATCATTCTTCTGACAAGTACTTTGATTTGCTAGATACTGCGGTGCACTCTTTGTTTGAAGTTGGAGGGATTAGCCAAACAAATCTATCAAAATGCCTGAAAACCTCAGTGCTTTATGATTAGTGTTTGATTTTATTATTATTTGGTTAGTTCCATAGTGTAATGCTTATTTTTGTTTTGCTCTCTAATATACTAGCTGCTTCTGCAGAAGAGATGATGAAGAAGTTTGTGTCCTGGGACACTGAGAAGAGTCTGAGCTTTGCTGTACCCTTTGCAGACATGAAGCCAGTCATCTATTTGGATTTGTTCTTGCCTCGTGTGACTGAATTAGCTCTATCTGCTAGCGACAGGCAGACTAAAGTATTGCTATTTTTGTGTTCACTATTAAATAATTGTCAGCTAATGCTTGTAAAAGATCCGCTTCCTTTCTGAAGACTTTTGCTTTTGATTAAATCCGAGACTGTCACATGGTTCCTTGATGTGGCTCTATAATCAGGTTTATCTCTAAACTACAAACTAAAAAGTTATAGTACATAGACCCTGTAAACTTTTCTGTACAGTCATGTGCTTCTTTGGTTAGAATTGTAGTGAAAACGAGGGTTTAGAGAGAGCTGTGTGGGGTTTTTTTTGTTTTGTTTTTTGTTTTTTGGTGTTGTCAGGCCTTCTTCCCTGGCATAGTATACAAGCTTGCATTTTCCCTCTTCATTAGCCACAGGGCAGGAAAGTTAATAAGCACATGGTTCAGTTCTTCACTGCACTGGGATCATGTTTTCTAAAGAAAGATGGAGCCATAGGGATCCAGCAGTGCTTAACTATGAATGGTTTTCATTAATGTTATTTCTTCAATTCATAGAGTCCAAGGCCAGAGGGACCATTGTGATCAATTAATCTGGCCTGTTTAACTCAGGCCATAGAACTTCCCCTTAAATAATTCCTAGAATGTATCTTTTACAAAAATATCCACCTCTTCCTCAATTGTACACAATGAAACGGAAGGCAATAATGTACTATGTAAAACTGGATTAGCGTCTGAATTACTTTGTGAGCAGAATATTGACATACTTCTTAGTGCAATATTTGTTGCTAGTATGAGGGTACGGTATGGATCAAAACCAATTAATTAGCATTTATTAGTGTTAAGAATTTCCCCTGCTCCAATTCTGTTCTTTTGCAAGTATTGATGCATAACAGAAAAGAATGATCAAACCTTTATTGCAGATTGCAGCATGTGAGCTCTTGCATAGCATAGTTATGTACATGTTGGGAAAAGCATCTCAAATGCCAGATGGACACTCAGGTTCTCCACCCATGTATCAGCTGTATAAACGAATGTTTCCTGTATTACTTCGGCTTGCCTGCGATGTAGACCAGGTAAATATATTTTTATGCCTCCTACTGAAACTCACACTTAGTACTGTTATATCTTAGAAAATTCCCTTTTAGCTTGGTTAAAAGTATTTAAATTTTGGAATACATTTATTATGTGATACAAAATAGTAGGATGCTTACTAGGGATGTTAAAATGGATGTAATTGGCTAACAGTGTAACTGCTGAAAATTTTCAGCAGTTACGCGGTTATATGTGCGATTGCAGCCAGCTCTCTGGGAGCCAGTGTGTGCTGGGAAATCAGTTTTTAAGCCAGCTCCTGCATGCACCAGCTGCTGCCCCACGCTGTATGCTGCCTCTGATATAGAGGCAGCAGCACAGGGTGGCAGGCAGCTCCTCAGGAGCTGGTGCACAATGGGAACTGGCTTTTAAGCCAGCTCCCTGTGAGTATTGGCTCCTGCCTGCCTCTCTGCTCCCAGGAAGCTTGACTGGGAGCTGTGTGTAATTGTTAAACTCATGCTTATCCCGTTTAAATGGCTATACTCTTACCTCCCTAGCACTTACTGCTGCTTTCTTTAAAATAAATACTTTTGTGTACTGAGATCCTTAACTCCAAAACTTCTGCAGTTGAAGACGGAAGTGTAGAAAAGTCTAGTGATGGATTGCAATCCAGATTAACTGACAAGAGTATCATTAAAGGAACAATCTTCTATGATTTATTTTAAGAGTTTTCCAAAGTATGAGTTCTTGATTTCTATAGCAAAATAAGTAAATTTTGCAAAAAGAGAATTGATCATTCCAAACACACAGTTAATGTGCAGCTGCCATGCTCCTGAAAAAAATACGAGGCACAACTTGTTATATTTGGTATACAGGAGTGATATACATAATTCTGTGGGATTCTATAACTAGAACCCTACAAATCCATGGATAGCTGCTTTATATCTGCTGATATCCACATTTGCAGATATAAATGTAGATATCTGCAGCTCATTTTTGCAGATGTGGATACCTCAGTCTCAAAGTATATTAACCGTTGCCTCTGTTATAGGAAGAGATTATCCTAATTTTACAGCTGGGGAAGTTGAGTCACAGAGAGAGATTAAAATAACTGAACATACAAGGTTTTTTGAATTTTGAAACTTTTCATACTGTAAGTTGTACCTCCCTTAACTGGGACTCCCTGGTCCGGCAACATCCATGGTCCAGCATGAACCATGGATGTTCCTGGACCACAGAGCCCAGGAACGGAGAGGTCTAGTGGCAGGGCAGGATCGCAGTAGGGGGTACCGGGAACCTATTGTGTGTTGCAGGTGGGAACAGAGAGCACAGTGGGGAATTCTGGCCTCAGCAGTGGCTGTGGAGTTCTGGCCCCAGCAGCAGCCAGGGAACTCTGTCCCCAGTTGCGGCACTCTAGCCCTGGCTGCAGAGCCCTGCTCCTGTGCATAGCCCTGGTTGTGGAGCCAGGTAGCTGCTGTGTTCTGCCCCAGCTGTGCAACTTCTGCTGTGGCGCTCCCCCCCAGCAGCAGCGGGCCTGGTGGCATCTAGAAAGCCCCAGAGGTCTGGGGCAGCAGCGGGAGCAGGCTAGAATCCTAGCCTTGTGACACCACAGGCCAGGAGGGGAGGGAACTTCTCTGGATCAGCCCCTTGTTCAGGATCAGTCAGGTCCCAAAGGTGCTAGACCAGCGAGGTCCAACACATGTAAAGGAATTTTGTCTTCAAACTCACCAGCAGAGTTTATCTCTTCCAGTGCACCAAAATAAATAGATTAGCCATCAGGTCTAATTGCTGGTGTAAATGTGGGTACAGCTTCGCTGAAGACATTGGTGTTGTGCCCAATTGTAGCAGAGTAAGTCTGAAATAGGTGTGCATGAGATTAAGTGGTTTTAACACATGAAAGTTTAAACCTAAATATATTTGTTAGTCTTTTAGGTGCCACAAGACTCCTTGTTGTTTTGGCAGGTACAGACTAACACAGCAACCCCTCTCAGACCTGTCATATTTTGTAAAGGATAAACTTAAACAACAACAAATAGTCTGGTAGCCCTTTAAAGACTGACTAAAAATGTGTAGATGGTATCATGAGCTTTTGTGGGCGCAGCCCACTTAAGATCTGAAGAAGTGGGCTGTGCCCATGAAAGCTCATGATACCATCTACACGTTTTGTTAGTCTTTGAAGTGATGCCAGACTATTTGTTGTTGTTTAAGTTTATCCTGTACAGACTCACTCGACTACCCCTCTGAATATTTTGTAAAGTTGACCTTCAAGTAAGAATGTAAAAATCCAGTATGTTAAATAGTAAAGGTAAAAAAAATGCAATAAAATACAAAATGGAGTATGGTTTAAAAAACAAACTGCTATACCAACCTGCTTCCCGTTCAAAGGCTGGTGGTAACACCAGTAGAGTTCCAGGTGTCCGGTTTTGAACCGGACAGTCCAGTATTTGATCTTTCTATTCGGGAAATAAATTGAGAAAATAAAAATTAGAAAATATAAATGTCCGGTATTTGCTAAGTAAGATGTAATGTAGATTGTGATGTAATGTCAAGTGTGTCCAGTATTTTTGTTGAAACCATCTGGCAACCCTAAGCACCAATGTCAGCCAGAAGGTTGTGATGTGTGACTTCACTGTGTGTGTGAGATTGATGATCTTTTGGTTTTGACATCTGAAAAGAGAAAACAGAGTCAAGATAATCGTTTCTTAAAGTGTGAGGCAGTTGGAGGTGTGCTGCAGAGAGAACAGAATTCAAAATGGCCACCCTTAAAGGGAGAAGCCTCCTTTCCCCCTGTCCGCGGGCTTTTTTTTCCCTCCTCACCAAAAATATCCTTGATGTTCCCCATAAAAAAAAAATTGCGTGGTATTCCTTGGTCTTAAACAGTTTAAAAAACACTAGTCAAGACGATTGCAAGTCAACTGCTGCTTTTATCCTTGTTGTTAAATATGTGGATCTCTACTTATGAAGATATTGGCTTTTCACTCATTCACTTTACAGCAGGGGTGTCCAAACTTTTTTCAAAGAGGGCCAGATTTGATGAAGTAAACATGCGTGAGGGCCGACCATTTTGCCTGACATTCTTTGAACCATTAACATTAAATGCAAATTAACTAGTTTATGCAAAGTTTATTGCAAACGGCATACTTTTCATTTCGTCACATGGATGACAAATCTAAACAGGTGTTAAATCACTCTGCCTTTCATATCTGAAGGCCAGATGAAAAAAAATCCAGGAAGCTGAAATATATGTCAGGAACATTGTAAAGTACATTACATATTATTGGTAATAAAGGTTGTCTGTCAACTTTTAAGTTCAAAAAATATGAACAGGAACATAACACCAAGTATATATGTTGTGTCCAAATATATTTATAACTGATTTAGACCAACTGACATTAACTGAGATTTTACAATGTATTCATCTCAATACATATGGATTCGTTGGGGGCCATAAAAGATAGATATTGCCAAATTACCTGTGGGGCCGTATTAAACCAGAACACGGGCCGCAATTGGCCCGCGGGCCGGACTTTGGACATGCCTGCTTTACAGACTTCTCTTTTTTAAAATGCTGTGTTCTCATTTCACAATGAAAACAAATTACAGTAAAAATACATATTTTAACGTGGGGGCTTTTCATCTCTTCAGGTAACAAGACAGTTGTATGAGTCCCTAATAATGGAATTGATTCACTGGTTCACCAATAACAAAAAATTTGAAAGTCAGGACACAGTGTCATTGCTGGAAGCTATTCTGGTAAGTAGTTGTTTTTTCGTTTTATCATTGTTATGATTATTATCAGGGCTCTACAAACTGTGGTGAGAGCTACTCGCTAGCCCCGCACTGCGCATGTGCCAGACCGGCACTGCACATGCACGCAGCGCCGGTGAATGGGGTGCACGGAGCAACCGGATTAAATCTACCCGCTACGGGCGAGTAGAAACAGCGGTTTGTCGAGCCCTGATTATTATTATTATTATTATTATTATTTATTATTATTGTGTGATGTCTTTTAAAAAGTAAAGTCTGGTCTGTTAAAGGAGCTTTTAACAACAAATTTACACATTTTATAGACCTTCCTTTTATATAAAGAAGAAATCCAATTTCTTTCTTTCTTAAATGTGGCCTGTGATTTGTTATTACTTACTTTTATGTTGGGCTTTATACTCCTGTCAATCCTTCATTTTTTTTATTTTCACTTGATAATGTCTAAATAAATCAGGTACTTAAAAATTAGCAAGCATATTGTTAATCTTGGAAAGATCCTAGCTATCCTTTTTATAGTCATTGTGTACAAGTACTAAAATACTTTTTGTTTAATAGCCTGTTTGAAAATTTTCTGCAACTGTTATTCAGGCATAAGTTTAACTTCTTTTTGCATCATATGGATCTAGTAAAAGAGTGATTTTCAAATATTTTTCTCATGATCCAGTTGAAGAAAATTGTTGATGCCTACGACTCAAAACAATTTGAATAGTGTGTGGATTCCAGGTGTGGCTGAGGTTGACATTTTTGGGCTGCAGGAGGGGACTCGGGCTTTGGAGTGTGCGCGACAGGGCTTACCTTGTGTGGTAGGAGGGGCTTACCTTGAGAGGCTACAGATTAGCAGTGCAGGAGGGATGCTAAGACAGTCTTCCTGCCTGTCCTGGCACTGCAGAACATGCTGAGCCATAGAAGCAGCCAGTGCAGGTTTCCAGCCAATGGGAGTGCAGAGCTAGAGCTCAAGGCAGGGCAGTGTGCAGAATTCTATGCACTCCCTCCTCCTCCCCTCCCCACACTTCCTCTTCGCTAGGAGCCGGGATTGCTGCTGGATGCTTCTGGGGCGCAGCGCAGTCTGCCATGCCAGGACATGCAGATGGCACAGCTCACCGATCCTCATGCAGCCACAAGACCCAGTGCCTAACATTTCATGACCCAGTATTGGGTTATGACCCCTAATTTGAAAGCCACTGCATTAAAGTTATCACAGTAGTCAGGTAAATGGAATTTTTAAACAAAAAACTTTTGTCCCATTTCTTGGGCATTCAGCTGAAATAGGTGTGTTTAAAAATTTTTTTTTTTTTAAAAAAACCCCACCCTACCTAGAGTGAAATAGACTGGTTAAATATCCTTTTTCCACTCCACTCCTAAGATACACTTCATTAATATTGTGGTGTCATTGTACTAGTTCTCCAGTTGCTCAGAAATGTCTGGGGGAAAATGGGTAGACAAGACCCTGAATTTCAAATGCAAAGCACAATCAGAAAAAAACCGTAGTTATTTTTACACAAAAACACATAATTCCAGCTGCCTTTATATATGTAAAGATATACAAAGGGGACCAACTTTCCTTCCCTTTGTAGATCTGTGAAGTATTGTCTTAATAGGAAGTTAGTTTTTGGACTAGGTAAAGGGTATTATGACTTGTATAAGGAATTCTACGTTTCATCTAAAAGCTTACTTACCTGCACTGATTTTTTTTTCTCTTCATTGCCACATATGCACACCTTTTATTTTAGCCATTTGTAGTGTGATTTTTTCTTTATCTTTATTCTTATGTTTATGTCCATAGGAGTAATATATATTTAACACTTATATGTGTGGCAGGAGGGGCTCAAAGTCCTTCACAAACACTAATTGAATAGATCTTATTTCCCCTATGAGATAACTATGATAAATAAACTTGCCCATTATTAAGCATGCTTGTAACAGCAAATCTAGAACCTTGTTCTAGATAAGAACCTGGAAAAATTAGATTATCAAATACCTGTCACCATAGTATCTAACCACTTATTAATAAATAAAACTTAATATAAGTCAGTCTAACAAGTGGCATAGATTTTCCCCTTTACTCTGAAAGCTAGCCATTCATTCTGTCCAGCTCTTTGCCTTACACATTAAATTATGCTGTCCTTCTCATATTGCGGAGGTTGACTCCTTTCATCTAAGTACTGAAGTTAAAATAGTTTATAATGCGGAGGGAGAAATCTACTTTAGGATGAAATAGTAAACCACAGGAACTCTAGCCTTGATGCTTGTATTTGTTGTAATGAAACCATCTGCTGTTCATTTCAGGATGGAATAGTGGATCCTGTTGACAGCTCTTTGAGGGACTTCAGTGGTCAGTGTGTTAGAGAATTTATGAAATGGTCCATTAAACAGACAACGCCACAACAGCAGGAGAAAAGTCCGGTGAACACCAAATCACTGTTCAAGCGACTGTACAGCCTTGCTCTTCATCCAAATGCTTTGAAGAGGCTGGGAGCAGCACTTGCTTTTAATAACATCTATAGAGAATTTAGGTGAGCTGAAAACTTGAACAGTAGCTAAACTGGACTAAAATAAACAAGGTGAATATATTAGAGGAGAGAGACATTCTGAGAGAACCTAGGTTTTATCCGCTGATGTTGGTTGATGCTGACTACAGGAAATCACATTATGATGACCCGAGTTGTAACCCCCCCTCCCCCGCCCCGTACTTATGACATTTTTGTAAGTGCAGAAGGGGCCGAAAACCCCTGACTTATGTCCTTGGCCCACATTTACAACGGTACACGGTGCCTATTGTAACTGCAGGTTTAAGTTACGACGCCTCCAACTTGCAATGCTTCCCCAGGAACCGATCGTGTCACAATTTGGGGGCCACTTGTATTAATATGTAAAGAAGCTGTATCACAGCTTGTTAAGACTATGTTCTCTGAAAGAAATTCACTTTACCCACAGAGAACCTATATGTGGGTTCTCTCTGGGGTGGAGAGCTGAGGCAGTGAATTTCCATTCCATGGCCAGATAAGAATGATAAGGTATTAGTCTTTAAATAACACTTTTATTGATCGCTAATGTTTCTCTTTTGGTGTGGTGATGGTCTAAAATATTTTTGCAGTCTGTGTTAAGCAGCATAGGATATGTCTTCCATGTCAGTTTGAAATGTGACACTACTTTGTTTAACTTTTTCTAAATTTCATATATGAGCTTCACATTCATTTGCTTATTCATGCTTCTTAGCATATTTACTATGTCCTTTGTTTTACAGGGAAGAAAATTCTCTGGTAGAGCAGTTTGTGTTTGAAGCATTGGTTGTATATTTGGAAAGTCTGGCCTTGACTCATACAGATGAGAAGTCACTAGGTGAGATGAAACTGATGTATTGAGAAATGGAGTGAATAAGCCATCCTTTCTCTGATATCCTTGTAGATTGTTTCATTAGCAATCTTTGGTAAACCAAACCATGACATTGAAGCTGTTGGTAAATAACAGTGCAATTTCCTTTATACTTGAAAATCAATTCTTTTCCATTCTCAGCGCACCTCATTAAATTGGGTTTCTGATTTACTGGCGTTTCTGTGCCAGTTTCTTAAATGTGTGGGATTTTTATATCTATATTTGAAATAAATTAAGTTTTGACAAATGTTTTACAACAGAGCTTCAAAAAGCATCTGAATGATGCTTCTGACCTATACATCTTAATCCCACAGTTATACAAAGTGAAAATGGAGCCCAATGGTTTTTAGAGTTTAAAGGCATGTGTAACAAATGTGGGGCTCAAAAAAACACATATTTCTGCATTGTTAGAGGGCTTCACCTCCTTAGCAGCACCTTCAGCTGCTAGTCCTATGATGTTCTCATTCCTAGCGCCAAATGGAATTGTATGAAGAATTCATGACTCATTCCCAACATTAAATAACAACCTATATAATTATATTTCCTTGTATTTTTTCCTAGTAATTCTTTGTCATCTACTAATAGTTAAAAAGTAAAACCAAAACCTTGAGCTTACAAACGTTTTCTTTCTAACAAACAGTATTTTGGGAGTGATACTTTTAATGGGATTGTTCATAAGGAAAAGAATGAGCTTCTTTGTTGTGTGAGTTGGGTCATACATGCCAAAGAAATGATCACTAAATGATGATTTCCACAGGAGGTAGGAAAGAAGTTTTTGTGGCAGCTGTCTACAAGTTAGGATATGTAGTAAATGGGGTTTTATAATAGATATAATATATCTGGACTTGAGTAAAGCTTTTGATGCTGTCCTGTATGACATTCTCATAAGTGAACTTAGGAAATGTGGCCTAAATGAAATAATTGTAAGGTGGCTGCCCAGCTGTTTGAGAGAACATTCTCAGAGTAGTTGTCAATGGTTTGCTGTCACGCTGGGAGAACGTATCCAGTGGAATCCTGCAGAGTTATGTTTTGATCTTGTACTGTCTAACATTGTCATTGACATTGAGAGTATGCTTAAAATTTGAGTGACACCAAGCTGGGAAGGGTTACAAACACCTGGGAAAACAGGATTGGAATTCAACCCAAACTTGACAAATGGGAGAATTGGTGTGAAATAAATACGATGAAATTTAATAAACAAGCATGAAGTGCTAAGCTTTGGGAGGAAATATAAAATATGCAAATATAAAATGGGGACTAATGAGCTAGGTTGCAGTACTGTGGAAAATGATCAGGGGTTTGTAGTGCAATCCAAATGGAATATGACTCAACAGAGGTATGGTGTTCTGAAAAAGATATAGTAATTGTGGGATATATTAACAGGAGTGTTGTATATGAGAGAGAGATATTTATTTCACTATATTTGGCATTGGTGAATCCTCTGCTGGAGTGCTGTGTCCAATTTTGGGCACCACATTTTTGAGAAAAGTTAACAAATTGGAGAGAGTCCAGAGGGGAGCAACAAATGTAAAGTTTTAGAAAACATGACCTGTGAGGAAAAGTATAAAGAATTGAGCATGTTTCCAGTCCTGGTGGAATTCTGCACCACTTTGTAATGCAGAATTTGTGCAGAATTAATATTCTGCATACAATTTCCTTTTCCCTGCAGAATTGGTGCTGCAGATCTGTTGACTACCAGTGGGGGCTGGTGGACCCAGAGGAGCCCAGCTTCCCAGCTCACAAACAAAAGACAGTGCTTGGGGGAGGGGATAGGATTGGGAGTTCCCAGCAACTGCATTTGCTGAGTGCAGAAAATGCCATATAGCCCAGGACCCAGTATGAGAGACTGTTTCTCCATCTGGATCCCTGAGCTTTGAGGGGAGGAGGTGGAAGTGTCTGCTGGGCTAGAAGGGCCCTGTTGCTGGACTGCATGTGTCTGGGCTGGGATAGAAGGGCACAGCTGGGTTATGAAGAGAGACACTGGCCGGGAGACTGGGTTTGTGAGGGAGCAGAGGGGAAGAGAGGGAAGGGGAAGATCCAGGTGCCTGGGCCCATGGCTGGACTCTGGGCAGAGGGCAGAGAAGCAGGAACTAAGCTGTCATAGTGGTTTATTTACTACTCCTGGGGTATTTTTTGTCTGCATGTTACAGATATAGTTGTTGATAGGTATTTTGAAATAAATTACCAAAATAATTGACGCTGGTGCGATTACACTGTTTATTTTGACAAATAAATATAAAGAATTTTGCAGAATTTTAAAATACTGTACACATAATTTTTAGATACAGAATTCCTCTAGGAGTAATATTTAGTCTAGAGAAGGAACGGCTGAGTAGGACAAAAAGTAGTCAATTTAGTTTTCATCAAAGGAGATTTATGTTGGACATTAGGAAAGATTTTCAAACTGTAAGGATAGTAACACTGGAACAGGTTACTTCAGGAAGCTGTGGAATCTCCATTCTTTGAGGTTTCTAAATATAGACTAGATAAACAGCTGTCAGGAATGGTCTAGGTATAATTAATCCTGTCACAGGAGGGAGTATGCATGGACTAGACCTAGATGACCTCTTGAGATCCCTTTCGGTCCTGTGTTTCTATGATTCTCAACTGCTTCACAGGCTTGCTTTGTGACCTTGGGCAAATTATCATAGAAATGTAAAGCCTGATTATTACTACATATGATCCTGAATGTCAACCATGATAGAAATACACATTTCTGCAGCCTAGTTTCTACCACAGTTCTGTTATGTTTGGGCTGCTCTCTTTCTCTCTCTAGTTTCTTGTAGGTGGTTTGAACTCATAGCACTGCTCATGCTAGCCATGCTCCTTTCTGTTGCTTGCTGTCAAATCTTCTGCATCTGCGGCAGCAGTTTATTTTACTTTTGGTTTATTTTACTTTTTTGTTCTTTCAGTTTTAGTTATTCAGACATTATGGACAGTGTCAAGCAGTTTTCTCTTCTAAGTCTCCTCTCCTTTCTGGTCCAGGTCTGAGCAGCATGATGGTCACAGCCACTTGAAGCTCTCACTGCAGTGTTTCCAAGCTGAGCTCCTCTGTCCTCTTTCAGGCAGAGCAAATGCATAACCAGCGGTATAAATCCAAAAGGATCCAATGTAAGGCAACTTTCCCAGGTTCAGCTGAAAATGAACTATCCTCAGCTGATCCTTCTCACCTGGTTGACCCCAATATTGCTAGGGGATGGGGCGCTAAGGCAGGCAAGTTGAGTTCCCCAGATTCTCTAAGGCATATTGAGTCCCTCACCTTTGCTAAGCAGCTGCAATTTCACATCAAAAAAGCCTAACAGAGCAGAACAGGGGGAACTTCTAAGGCTGAGCAGGGCTTAATCTAGCTGGTGCAGGAGGTGAGTCCTGGGGCAACAAAGAACTATAAAGATAAGACTCTTGTGGGGCTATTGGCTTCCTTACAAGTCTTAAAATGCATCTTAAGCACTTTGGCGAGAGAAGCAGGGTTCCTATCCAGCCCCCCTCTTTTCCTATTCAAGTGTGAGTACTCTGATAATGAGGTTCTACTTAGGGAATGGAATCCTGAAGAGGAGAGTTCCAAGTGAGAAATTTCTAGAGGGCTCGGGGATCTACAGCAAGTCATAAAAGGACTTACTCTGGCAACAGTCATGTTGATCTATAAAGTACATCACAAAACCTTAAGAGAATGTAAAGGTAATGGAAAAACTCCAAAAAATATCTAAAGGTACTCAGCCTCTGAAAAAGACCTCTTGCCTTCCACTGAGGTACATTCTTTGTACGAGCTAAGGCACTGAAGAACAGAGGCTACCCTGACTCAACATTGTACATGGCAACAGAAATTGTAGCTGATGCATCAGTGGATGCAGTGAGATTTTCTGCTACACTTTGATATCCAGCTCAGCAGCCAGGAGTTCACAGATGGCTGTGACCCTGGAAAGTAGATGCACTTCACACAAGTCCTGTGCTCAAAGTTCATAAGGCCACTCCTCTCTGGAGAAGAGTTAGTTAAGATAGTGGTACAAAATGTTGCAAAATCTAAGTAATCCCTTCTCCCTCTACTGCATGCTCTCAGAAGAGATACAAACTTGCTTTCAGGCAGACACACTCCTTTTGTTCCTGCTCCTCTCAGAAATATCAGAAAGGCATGATTGGGATCAGAAACAGTCCAAACCAATGTTGAGTGATTGTTATTATTTGTCCTATAATCCTGGATGCCTCTCAGTGCTTTCCTGCTATGTGTCACAGAATGTCTGTGTGCTAAACAGCCCTGGTTCAACAGCTGTGACTCCAGCAAACTCTCTGCTGTCCCACTGTCTCTTCCACCAACCGTGGTTACAACCAGCAAGGTGACCCCAACATACTTCCAATCCCAAATTTTTCTAAAACTTGGAAAATTATATGCTCTTTCCTTGTGTGCTCTTTCCTAAAACTGTCCAGCCCTCTCCTGGACAATTAAGAGAAGTGTTAGGATCTGTTAAGTGAGGTGAGTATACTCTTCCCTTTAAACACTGCATTAAATTGACTTACAGTAAAAATAAGACCTATTTATTAACAATAGGATGTAGTTTAAGTGATGGCGAGTAAAAGGAATAAATTTAGAATGGGTTACAAGAAAATAAATATGCAGATACACACGTAAAGGTCTAAAACAGTGGTCTCCAGCCTTTTTGATACCAGGGACCAACAAACCCATTCACAAACTTTTGCTGGACCAGTAAGATTTTGTTCGCCTATTCAGGATGCAAATGATGAACATGTAAATAAAACTTTTATGGTCTGCCAAAAGCCCAGTGCCAGCCCTAGCCTCTAGAGCCCTCCACCCCTCATCTACCACTCAGCACCAGCCACTGATCCTAGAGTCCTGTGCACGCAACTCCCCCCCATGCCAGCTTTCCATCCCCAGTGCCAGCCCCCCACCAGATCCCTCAGTACCAGCCTCCTCTTTCCAGAGCCCCACTGCACACAACCCCCCAGAACCTCTCCCAGTGACAGCCCCCAATATTAGCCTTGTCCCCAGAGCCCCCCAGTGCCAGCCCTGCCCCCATAGCTCTGCACTGCTGCCTGCATCCCAATGGCTCTGGGGACCAGGGCTGGGGAGCACCGCCCAGTGCTTCCCTTCCTGCGATGGCTGTTGGGAAGGCATGTCCTGCCCTGCCTCTCAGCTAACCAGCGTTGGGCAGGGGAAGGATCTTCTCTGTGCAGGGAGCTCTTCTGCAGCCAGGTGGGAGGGCTGCACAGAGTAGCTGCGTGGCTTTCCCGCCGTGCAGGGAAGTACTCTTCTGTGGTCGGGAGTAGACCCTGGCCCTGCCCCATGCTGTTGGCTGAGAGGCAGGGCAGGACACGCCTTTCTCAGCAGCCGTGGTGAGAGCGGTGACCCCAGCCCTGGTCCCCAGAGCCACTGCAGCCCTACAGCCGGAGGTCTGCAGCCAGGCAGCCAGAGGTCTGTGGCTCGGTGGTTAGGAACCGCTGGTCTAAAACATAATTTAATAAGGTACATTGTTTGCCTCAGAAGGTTTTTCACTTGTATTGCATTTCCAGAGACTACTATCAGAGTACATAAGGCGAACTGTAACTCAGTGTCTTAAGCTACCAGTCCTTTTGGTCTCGTGCACTCTCAGGGCAAGGTCATACATGAAGTTTCCCCATGATAACGTTTCCTGGATGCATGACAGATCACGTGCTGGTTCCCAATCAGGTATTCAGTTTCTAACACAGTGGACAGTCTCAGGGAATGCAAGGGCCTCCCTCCATATGACTTCCAGTTCCTTTGGTTGTTGCAACCAATGCCGTTCTGAAGTATTGGAATGTATTTGGGACACAAAACCACACAAGGGATCTGGAACCCAGGGAAAAGTGACCACATCAGTTTCCTGGAGATCAAACTGGTGAAACTAGCACTACAAACATGCTGGAGACCCAAGAGGGGAATCACGTGCTGGTACAGTCAGGCAACTACTACAGTCAGATACATAATCAAGGATTATGTAAGCCCAGTGCTATGTAGAGAAGTGAGGGAAGTAATGAGATGGGCAGAAACAGACCCAAGTCCATAGTAATAGGTAGTCTGTCACAGATGGCCACAAAATTTGCTATATGCATTCCTACTCTTCCAACTCTTAGGGAAAGTGATCTGAAAGATAAAGCTGGAACTGGCAAAGGTAATAATGCTTATCCCAACTGGCCGTGGGGACCACTGTTTTCTAATTTGATAGAGCTGAGAGTGGAACCACAATGACTACTACTGCCTTAAAACAAGACATCTTTTTCCAAGATCACTTTCTCCTTCCAGGCCCAGGTTGGCTATTGAAGGAGGACTGTTAACAAAACTCCATCTGTCCTTCCAAGTCATCAAGACATTTCTATTATTTAGGAGAGCCTGTGTCTGGACCTAGTTCAGCATTTGATGCCTGGGACATAGTGTTAAAAACACAAAAGATTCAGGGATTCTGGTTATTTTGGACTTCCTCCAAGAGGGTGTGGATAAAGGTCTTTGACCCAGTTCCATGCCATACCAAGTATCACCCATTTGTTGTTTTCTATATTCAGGGTCTTTGGGCTTCTTGGCAGAGAACCTCCATGTATCCAGGACTCTCAGAGCAGTCAAACTGGTCAGGCCAGTGTTCAGTTGAGTCTTTCCAAAATGGGACCCACTACTGGTGCTTAAAAGCCTTACCTTTTAATGCATTTGAATCTCAGACTTGAATAGTGGCATTCTACCACTGATTCAAGATCTTTTATCTGGTCACCATTACATCTGCTTAGTGAGTGTCAGAACTGGCAGCGAACCTTACTGCATTTTCAATTATGACAGAGTAGTAACGGGAACTATGGAATCATTTTTTCCCAAAGTGAACATCCTATTCCATATATAAGAACAGATTATTAATCGCTCATTCTGTCCAAGACCACTGCACCCTCTTGAGAAACTATGACATATCTGAGACATCAGAAGAGCACTGAAGATGTATATGAAGTATACAGAATTCATCCCAAGTAGCCAAGGACTGCGTTTCCAAGCTATGTATTGCCAGATGGATCAGACTGCATTCTTGGTGACTACAAGGCATCTGGTCTCCCTTTTGTGGAAGGAATCCAAGGCATTCTCCATGAGATCATGGTTAGCTTCATGGTCCAAATGGGCAAGGGCTTTCACCTCAGATATGGAGAGTGAGTAGCTGGTCTTTTGGCCAATACTTTTTCATACACTGTATATAAGGTGCACTTTCTTTAGTCTGTAGAGGTTGTCTCCTGAACAAAAGTACAGCAAGTGATGGTCCAATAATAGTATTGTCTGTTGAGCAGCTTTCAATAAGGGGGATTCCCTTCCTATCTCATTCTGTTTTACCTTTTTCCTCCCTGCTTCTGTTCACTGCTTGCTGTTTCCCAGATGTAACAGAATTGTGTGAGACGCTGGGCTTCAGAATGGAAAATTTCTAACGCTGTAATTATGTGTCTGCTACCAGCATCTCCCACAATTCTACACACCCTGGATGGCTTCACTCAAGGGTCAGCTTTTCATTTAGATCATTACCATATGGGCTGTATGCTTTCTATAAATGGTTATTGAGTTGGCATTGAAGTTATTGTTACTAATAGCTTTCCATGAGTTTTATGCAGCTTTGAAATGACACATACAGCAGCAAGTGAGGAAAGGGGGCATGACCAGCATGAGAAGTGCTGTAACTTTAAATTATCTCCAGAAATTGCAGAATGGTGGGAAGCATCCCAGGCATAATAGAATTGTGAGAGATGCAGAAAGGAAGGTATTGAGTAAGGAATTATTTGATAACTGGACCCCACTATTGGCACTTATTCATAGGTGAGCATTTCCCTTCTCTTTGATAATAGGTACAGTTCAACAATGTTGTGATGCCATTGATCATCTGAAGCGCATAATTAAGCACAAAGCATCGTCCCTAAATAAGGCAGAAAAACGACGGATACCACGGTTAGTTTGAATTTTTGCTTTTCCAAATATTACATCAATAGTTTCTTACAAATGGCTTTTGTAAAAATTTAGGGTGGTAAGTGGAGTTTAGACACATGATTCCCATTAATGTGTAACTGTATTGCCACGTGCTGAAAGCTTTCTCCTGAGATGTCCCTTGAACTGACTAGAATAGCATGATGGATCGTGGTTTGAGACTCAAGAGCTATCTTTGATTCTTGAAACAGCTCATTCAGCTCCATAGGGAGATGGGTACGAGACTGTCATACAGTTCCCCTCTGGAAACTCTGTGACCATCTCAGGGGAAGTGTTGATTAGCCTCAAGAAGGAGTTGTATCCAGCACTTTCTAGGCAAAAATATGAGTCAGAGAGAGCAGGAAAAAATTAGACTGAATCCTTGGGGATATTAAATAGTCTTGGAAGATTTCCCCCCTCCAAAGGAGGGGGAAGAAGAGAAGTTCTTTGTCTGATAGTTAACCTCCCCTTTGTCTGGAGTTGAAAGGATAGGAAAGAGATAGTTAAGTCTTGACGTTTTTCTTTTATATCTCAGTCACCACAACTAAGTAAATTGGAGCTCAGATCAGGGAAATAAGTGAAGCATATACCCATATATGATTTTGTATTTGTAGTGTGAATTATCTGATCCATCAAATCCCCCACCTCTGCCCCTACTTCTTTTAATGAGATAGTGGAAAGAGCATCCAAAATTCTTCATTAAATATTTAGATTTGCAAATGAAGTTGGATGGCATCATGAATATGATGGCTGTTATGGCTTTTCTTTGAAACAAACACACACAGCTGTTGGGCAAATGTTAGTAAGGATTGTTGATATGTATTCATTATTTTGTACAGAGGCTTTCCACATGCTAAATCAATATGTCTGTTGGACCTTGTCATGTGGCTGTTGGTGCAGTGTGGGCGATCTCAGACAGAATGCCGTCATAAATCCATGGAGCTCTTCTATGGATTTGTTCCTTTATTACCAGGTACTGTGGGTCATCACATATATCTCTCTAGTTTCCTGCTTCACATTAATTGCATTTCTGTTCTCATTTCCTGTGCAGTGTCAGTTTTCATTTATTGGAAGAAACACATTTTGAAATGAGTATCTATTAGTATTGAATAAGAGCTGACTAGCTGCTAGTATTTCATTCAGTATAAAAATGGTGCATTTTTTATTGTGTAAGCTTCTTCCAATCAGTTGTGCCCCATCTCTGACCCAGAGAGACCACCATTAGGTTCAGGAAATCTATTACAGCCAACTGCGAGGGGCTCATCAGCTGTTGCAGAGCCAGAGGAGTGGTTCCTAAGCCACACTTTTCCTTGCAGTTGACACAAGGACTGCTGCTTTGGCTGTCTCCTCTTCCAGAAAATAAGAGCAATTAATGGAATAGGTTTTTGAGTGTTCATTCATGTCCATAATACCTTGCTGAATGCCAGCTGCGTATTTGCATACAGAACACTGATTTCTGTTTGCTGCTTTATCAGGAAACCACTCTCCATCATTGTGGCTGGGTGATGTTCTAAAAAAACAAGGAATCTCTTTCCTCATCAACAAATTTGAAGGGGGAGGAAATGACAATCTCTCTGGAATCCTCTCTCAGCCAACACTCTCTGACGTGCAGGAGCCCTTCAGTTTGCGAGCTGTTTTACAGTGGATGGATATGTTTCTAGCAGCTCTGGACTGCTACAATACATTCATTGAGCTGAGAATGATCAAACCAAATGAAATACTAGGTAGGTAAATCCTAGCTGTAGCTTGTTCAGTATTGTCTGTTACATAAACTCACATTGAAAGGTCTCTAACTTGGACTTGCAACACTTGTTTCAAGAATAGATTTGATTTACAGATCCACAACCATTTTCAGCAACAATTGCATCAATGGATTTTTTTTTTTTTTGGTAACAGTGGCCTAGTATTATATTTTTTTACTTTGTGTTATAGAAATATTTCATTACTATTAGAAAAACACTAGTTTTAAATTTCTTTCCATCATGAATGTCTTTCTCCCTCATTTTCCACTTTCATACGGTTGCTGCACTGCAAAGCTTATCTCCAATTACAACCTCTGGACAAGATTCCTTCTAAATCCTATCACCATGTTTCTTCATTTAATTAAAGAAAGTTACCAATTAGCAATGTGAGGTGCTTTCTTCCTTCCCCACAGTGATTTTGCATAGGGATGTTAAATTTAGATTAATATGCTAATCGAATAGTCGATGCAAATTCTATTAGTCGATAAGGGTGCCTCCGCCTTTGAAGTGTAGCAACAGCCCTATGGTGTTGCTACACTTCAAAGGCGAAAATGCTGCAGGGAGCATGGGGTCAGGGGGGACTTAAGCAGTCCTCCTTCCCTCCATTCTTCCTCTTTCTGATAGATGCAACAAGAGGGGAGGGAAGTGACTAGTGTGTCGACTATTGGATAATTTGCTTATCAGATAGTCGACTAGTCATTCATATTCCTAATTTTGAGTGTGTTGCTTTTCCCTTCAGCTGCAACTCTCCTGGGGAACTTAGCACTTGTAGTCTGATGACATAAATATCAACACCTTGTGCAGCCGTTAGGCCATTGGGTCCGCATCCAGTATAAGTTTTTAAATGGTTCATGTATTTCTAAACAGCATGTTTCTACAGTAGGAAAATACAGTGTTTGGATTAGACTCCCATTTGGGCCTCTATGGGCAGAGGTTGCTTCATGGCAGCCTTCCTTACTCACCCCTTCCCCTCCTCTGCTGCCTCTGTCAGGTGGTGTCAGGTGGTACTGCGGAGACAGTGTTGGGGAGAACTAGTTTATAAGCTGGCTCATCCCAGCACCCGCTCCTGTTCTCCCCCCCCCTTGTTGCTGCTTCTGATACAGAGGCAGCAAGTGGGGGTGGCGGGGAGTGGAGTAGTCGACTCAACAACTCGCTTAATGAGCCTATGTATTTTGCCTAGGCATGTAAAGCTGTACAATAAGTCTGTGTCTACATTGGCAAGATTGTGCGCAAAATCAGCTGCTTTTGTGAAAAATCTTGCCGCCTGTCTACAATGGCCGCGAGTATTTGCACAAGAACACTGATGTTCTACTGTATGAAATCAGTGCTTCTTGGGCAAATACTCTGACTCTCCCGCTCAGGGATAAGTCCTCTTGTGCAAGTGTTCTTGGCATTTTGTTTCCCATATTTTTATTAAGTCACTTCATTATGTCGCCCTGTTTGAGCTGAGCATAAAATATATTTTAAATTCATAAGGTCACTATATATTTAAATTTTGTATAACTCTTCTAGGTACTGGTATGAGGTCTTCATTCCTGAGAGCTGTAGAATTCTTCCTTGAAACTATTGCTTTGCATGATATAGCTGCAGCAGAGCGGTGCTTTGACACTGGGTCAAAAGGCAATATGTTCAGTCCACAAGAAAGAGAAGAGTATAATTACAGCAAATGCACAATCATAGTCCGAATCATGGTGTTTGTCAGCATGATCCTGGAGACATGCCAACAGGATTTCTGGAAGGTAGTTATTGAACCTCTCAGGCTGTAGCGGGTGACCTCTTATTGCTGAAATTGTTATTTAAAATTGTTTGTTTAAGCACTAATGATTTGTGGGAGAGTGGGGGGCTTGCTAGGAGAAGAGGATCATCCTTTGAAATACTTTGGACCATTCATCTTAACAGATCATTAAGCCCTAGGATGTGGCTTGCTCTTTTGATATTACTGCTGCAGCAAGCTGAAGGAAACCCTTGGTTCGTGGATTATTTTGCAATGAGTGATGCAGTTCTAATTAGGAGAAATTAACACCATGTATATTTGCCAGTCAGGTTGTTTGAATCACTGTCAGTATGACATCCTGCATGGAATACCATCCCCATGGGTTTCTGATGTTGTTGAATTTGGGAGTTTTTTTTATTGATCATAGCATGAGAAAGATGATGGCTATAGAAATGATTGTGCTCTGCCTTTTTCCTCTTAAATTCCTTTTTGAATAATGAGCGTTCAAGTCTCTCTATATGTTTGTGTATTTAACTTGATACTAAAACTTCAATTTATTTTAACAGTTTCTGAAGACTTTAAAAAAGGGCACTGCTAAGTCATTTTCTAGGACTGCAAGTGCATAACTGGCAGTTGCATAACTTGTTTAGATGCATAACTAGCAGTCTTCATGTGTGTAGAAGTCTGTAGTACTGGCATGTTGTTATTTGAACACTAAAATTAGTGTATTTATGCCCAAATAGGTTGTGCTGTTGTGCACCTGTGTCTTTAAAAATGGGCATTTAATTTCTATAAATATGAGTTAAAATATATTAAAAATGAGCCATTTCAGAGAGAAAGAAGTTAAGATAAAAAGGCTTATTTTGCTTATTTTAGGGACAGAAAAAATAGTGGAAAGTAGACTAGTTTTAGATGAAAAAGGATTAAGAATGAAATGTCTCCAGCTTAATTTTCATCTTTCATTCTTTGCAGTTACTTGAGAAGGAACTACTTAATGCAAATCTGATAGAACTCCTTGTGAGAACAGTTTGTGATCCATCAAACGTAGGCTTTAATACAGCTGATGTACAAGTCATGAAAAATCTCCCAGATGTTTCTGTGAGGCTCATGAAAGCTTTGATGAGATCTCCCTATAAAGAATCATTGGAGCTAAGCATAAAGAAAAGAATAACATCACAAAGGTAAGGGCTCTCTATAGCTAGCAGGGAGGAATAGCTCAGTGGTTTGAGCATTGGCCTGCTAAACCCAGGGTTGTGAGCTCAATCCTTAAGGGGGTCATTTAGGGATCTGGGGCAAATCTGTCAGGGATGGCATTTGGTCTTGCTGTGAAGGCAGGGGACTGGACTCGACCTTTCAAGGTTCCTTCCAGTTCTGTGAGAGAAGTATATCTCCATTTATAGAAGTAATGCAGTACATAGGGATAAATGCACCATTGAAAGATGATGTCTTTTTTTCATGTTATATTGATACATCCATAATGATATAGGCAATCAATATTTTTATTTTTCTTCTCCCTTTTCAGCATCGAGGATCTTTGCTCTGTTGAACTGTATAATCCAGATTCTCGTTTTGATCACATTAGACTTAGCTCCATATTGTCTGCATGCAGGCAACTGCACAAGGCAGGCCTGCTTCATTCCACACTTCAATCTCAGGTAAATGTTTATGCAGAAAATAACAAAAGTTAAGATTTTTCATATTCATGGCCTTTCATATTTGAAGGGCTCTTGAAGTCATGGGGAGTTGCTTGTGCAATATCCAATGACAGACTAGGCCGTAGCTAATTCTCACAACTTCCCAGTGATGTAGTAAATAAATAATACCCTTTTTATAGATGAGTATACGCCGCCAGAGAGTCAAAGTAACTTGCCCAAGGAAATAGTAGGGAGTAGGTGTTGGAACCGGCATCTGAATTAAGGATGTGAAAGTGCAACTGTGTACATGGTTACCGATGAGCTTGGGCTCATTAGTTAACATTCACATTTACATGCAAGCTCCTGGTACACATGGTGAGTTGGCTTAAAGCCGGCTCCTTATCCACACTGGCTCTCGGTGAGCCACCTGCTGTCCCATGCTGCTGCCTCTGTATTAGAGCCAGCAGCATGGGGTGGCAGGTGGGCGCTGGTATGTGCTGGGAGTTGGCTTAAAAGCCGGCTCCTCTTGCATACCATATCCCGGGGAACCAACTGTTACTCCGTGTGTAACCGTGTAACAGCTGAAATTTTCAGCAGCTACATGGTTACTTAATTACACTCATTTTAACATCCCTAATCTGAAGTCTGGAGTTGCCTATACTCTGAAGATACCTGCCCTAAATAAATGCTTTACATTATACTCGGTAAGTACTGAACATTGGGTACATTGGGTAAATTTGATAGTGCAGCTAAAAATCTGTCCACACGTGTGGACTTTAATGTTCATAATGGAGATCATATCAAGAAAATATCTGTGCTTCAAATTAAGTGGTAGATATTTTAATTCCAAAGAAAACATTGGATGCAGACAATAATGGAGGGTGGGGGAAGAAGAGGAAGATATGCTTCGTTTTTGACAAAAGTAGAAAACTTGATTTATATTTAAATTAGTCCAGAGGAAAGAATGGATTTTTTGTGTGGTTTTGACAATGCAAGCAAACTTTTTACATTTTGAAAACTAGCTTTTAAATATGCAAAATGGCAAATAAGAAATATATCATTAGTTATGAACCAGTTGTGATATAGTTGGTAGCAGAAGGAAAAGGATTAAAGTACTATCAGAATGAGAGAGAAAAGAATCAATTCCTCTCATATAGCACAGTATTCAGGAGAGAAGTATACCATTGGATTATTATATGAGAAAATATAACAAATGGGAGTGTCAGAGAAGCACTAATAAGAATAATTATAGGATATATATATTATTTGGATATATTGATGTGAAAATGAAGACTTTGGATATTTTGGCTAATAAATTGGCTTTTTTAATCCATGAATGTTGGCTGGTCTGGCCTTTTAAAGAACAAATCTATTGTCTTAACAAAAATCAGTATGGATCATCCTGTTAGTACTACGTGTGTTGTTTTGCAAGAGATAGAGTTCAGATTGTGAAGAGCTGAGTTATTCAGCTTCAGGACTAGAGGGGGCGCACCTTTCATTACATTAGGATGCTCCTTTGGCAAAACAGATCCAGCATTGTGTAAGGACGTTAAAGTCCAGTTATTTGGCTAATCGTGTAGTCGATACAATTTGTATCGACTACACAATTGGTCAATAAGGGGAATTGGCCTGTAGAGCCACAGTGGAAGTAGCTCCTAAAGCCAGTGTGAGTTGGAACTGAGCAGTCCTGGCTTGCACCGGCTCTGTACTGCTGCGACTCTGCATTTAAAATTAGTAAGAGCCCATTGGCTCTTACTACATTTAAAATGCAGAAGTGCAGTGATCCTGGACTGGTGCGAGCCAAGACTGCTTAGTCCTAGTTTGCTACAGGTCCAGCAGCCCCTGTTTGCAGTGGCCTGGGCTGGCCGCAGGCAGGGGCTGCTTTTCAGCAACCTCCCCTTCCCCTCCCCAGATGCCTCTGATAGAGGCAGCGGGGGGAGGGGGCAGGCAGCATTGCAGCGACTGTGCTGGGAGGGAACTGACTTTTAAGTCGGCTCCCCCCCCCCAAACACTGGCTTCTGCCCCCCCTCCTGCTGCCTCTCATACAGAGGCAGCGCATGGTGGTTGGGGGGAGTAGTTGGGTACTTGACTCGACTATTCAATAAGCTTAGCTTTCTTGGGTAGTCAGGTATTCAACTACTCGTGTACATCCCTAGCATGATGATCCTTGTTTAGCCTTTTGAGTCACAGGAAAGTAGGATTGAAAGAAGTTGTACATATCTAACAGAAACCTTTATGTAGCCTCCTAGGTATTCCTTGTTACCAGGGTTCTGGAATGCATGTGTTATTGGTATGTCACTATAGGTAATGGGGGAGAGAAGATTTAGCTAACAGTGTTTCAGTCCTAAATGTTTGCTGTTTGGTGATGGGGGCCACTTTTATAATGTAACAATATAAATGTTACATTTTATGGAATTTTTGCCATTACTTCTATGAGGTCAGGATTTCAATCTTTATCACCCTATAGGGCTGTGATAGTAGGACAGCATGTTGACTAGTATCAGTGGTAACTGTGAAGTATATGGTGTCCCCTTCAGGGCACCTACCTTCTCATAAGATTTTCTGAATTTCCGTACTAGTGTTCGGAATCTTCAGGGGGTAGCCGAGTTAATCTGTACAGGAAAAAACAACAAAAGGTCTGGTAGCACTTTATAGAGTAACAAAACCTATAGATGGTATCATGAGCTTTTGTGGGCACAGCCCACTTCTTCAGATGACCGGAGGTTTGAGTTTAGGATGTGCAGACCCAAAATAAATAGGAGAGATGTGGGGGAGGAGGAAAAAAAAAGAAGGGGGGCGGGAGACAGGGAGGAGAGGTATGGAAAATCTAAGGGAAAAACAGGAAAGTAGAGCTGGGAGTCTGTAAGTATTTTTAGATTGGGTAGTTAAAACAAAGCAGATAAGAATCAAAGTCAATAGATAGTATCCTTCCTAGTGTTGTTCATCTTAACCATGAAGTAGTTCAGAGTCATTGGACTGGAGTCCAAATTTTGGTTTAGTGAGTAATGATCCCTAAATGGGGATCCAGCTTACTCTGAACCCAAATGGTCATTCAAGTGTGGTTCCCAGAAATGTGAATAGTCTGCATGACAGTCCTATGTGCAGGTCCACTGTTAGGCCAACAGCTTGGAAAAAACAGAGACCTGCACTGAAACCACTGTGGTGCTCTTTTCACAGACAAGTCTTCTAGAGATTTAGTTTACTCTGCCTAGCAACTAAAAATAAACAATTTAAATTCTGTTTTTCTCCTGCACTCCTAGAGACTTACAGTAAAAATCCCCTCCCCCCTTCATGTACATCCTCTAGGGACTGGGGCTCCATTTTGCAGTTGGTTCTAAGCTTCTTTCAGTTGTTTATAAAAGCATTGCACCAGGAGATGAGAGGAAATCTCTACCATCACTAGACATCAGTAGCAAGCGACTAGCTGATGGACTCCTGCAGCTGGCTTTTGCTTTCGGTGACCAGGTAGGAGGATCACCTCTTATGATGTACTATCTCCAACTCCATTTCCATAGTTTTGGGTTCTGGCATGTTTATTTTTCTGATAGTTAATCTTATCTATACTATTTTCAGGAATGTTGTAGAAGAAACTGGTTTATTTTCTGTAATGTGTATTTTTGGGACAGAAAATTGTATGTGTATATAGAATGCTGTATTGATAAACATCCCTTAACACTTCCAATCCAGAACCTGGAGTTTGGCTATTGTTGAGTGCCAGTGACCAAGGCAAACTATAGATTCCTTAGTAGGGGAAATATCCTGATACTGTTCTGGGAGTTGTTTTTTTCCCCCTTAAGTTTAAACATTTAGTTTTATGTAATAAATTGGGAATGGGGAACATCAGACCCAAGGACCGGATGCGGCCATCAACTTGCTTGGATTGGTCCCCAAGGCTCAGGGGTCCCTCAACTTTGGGGAGCCTCTACTGGTGCTCCAGTCACTGCACTGCTTTCCCGCAGGGCTGGAGCGCACACAGTCTACTAGGCTGGGCCCCCATAGGCTCTGGTGTACAAGGGGAATGTGGAGATTGTCTTTCTCAGTTGAGGACCACGGTGAGGTATTTTTTTCTACTTCTGACTGGTTGCAGCCCCCGACTGATTTTTATGTGTTAGTGGCCCCTGACCCAAAAAAGGTTCCCCACCCCTGTTATAAATATACGTACAATTATTTGAGAAGGCAGCTTTTTGTAGAAGACTTGTGATGCTTAGTGATTTCAGTACATTAGGACTGACCTCTCTTCTTGTTTCCATTCCCAGTGTGAGGAGCTGGTAAGTCTCCTGTTGAACACAGCGATACTCTCTGTGCCACTATCAGGAACATCACAGAAGGGTCTGATCAACTTCTCCCATGGAGAGTATTTCTACAGTTTGTTCTCAGAAACCATTAATCGAGAACTGTTAAAAGACCTGGATGTAGCCATACTTCAACTTATGAAATCATCTGTCGACAGCCCAAAAATGGTATTAGACCTTTTCTTTAAAGGACACAGTCAACTGAAAATGTTGTATCCTCTTCAATTATAAGAAACACTTAAGATTATTATAAATGAAAAGTTAGGAGTAGGGGATGTGATACATTTTCTTTTTATAGCAAGATAGTATAATTCCCATGCATCGCACTCTCACATGCATGCTCTTCCCAGAAGCCCTCTTAAAGGATGTCTGCCAGTTAAAGGGAGTAATGCAGCAGCAAAGCTGATGCTTCTAAGGGTACGTCTAGACTACATGCCTCTGTTGCCAGAGGCATGTAGATTAGGCTACCAGGCATAGGAAAATGAAGCGGCGATTTAAATAATCGCCGCTTCATTTAAATTTACATGACTGTCGCGTTGAGCCGACAAACAGCTAATCAGCTGTTTGTCGGCTCAGCACGGTAGTCTGGATGCGCGGGTGTCGACATCAAAGGCATTTATATCTCCTGGGATGAGATATAACTGGGTGGTCGACAGATGCCTTTGATGTCGACACCCGCGCATCCAGTCTACCGCGCTGAGCCGACAAACAGCTGATCAGCTGGTTGTCGGCTCAGCACGGCAGCCCTTGCGCTCCCGCGCCGACCTGAAAGCCCTTTATCGACCTCCCCGTTA